AAACACCAAGTAAAAAGCAAATACAAAATTACTTTAAAAAAAAAAAAAAAAAAAAAAAAGCTCAAACGTACTGAAGAACTGTGGTGGCTTGACCCTGGCTGGCTACCAGGTGCGCATCCAGCTGCTCTCTCAATATCCCTCCCCAACAGGACCGAGGGAGAAAAATAAAAAGAAAAGCTCATGGGTCAAGACAAGGAGATCGTCATCATGGGCAAACCACATCTGACTTAGGTGAAAATAAATTTAATTTATTGCCAGTTAAGAGAGTGCTGGAAGATGGGAAACAAAGACAAAACACCTCTCACCATCCCTTTTTTCCCCAAGCTCTACTTCCCTCCTTCATTCCCAACTCCTCTACCTCTCTTCCCCCTGCCTGAGCGGCGCAAGGACATGAGCAGTGGGGCGTTGCTCCTTCCTCCTCATACTTCTCCCCTGTCTAGCATGGGTCCTTCCCATGGTTTGCAGTCCTTTAAGAACTGCTCCAGCATGGGTCCTCCATGGGCCACAGCTCCTTGAGGAGCTGCTCTGCTGTAGGTTCCTCCACAGACTGCAGTGTGGATATCTACTCCAATGTGGTCCTCTTCCATGGAGTGCAGGGATTTGCCTGCTCTAGTACTTGAAGAATCTCCTCCCGCTCCTTCTCAGACCTTAGCGTTCGGAGGGTTGTTTCTCACCCCCCCCAACCTCCCAAGCTTCCCTCCCCCAATACACTGCGCAGTGTTTTGCCCTTTCTTAAACATGCTTTAACGGAGGCACCACCAGCTTCTCCAATGGCCTCACCTGTGTCCTGCAGTGGAACTGGCCGCATCCAGGCAGCCCCAACCTCTTCTCACAGAGGCCGCCTCTGCAGCCCCCAGCCCCACTACCAAAACCTTGCCAGAAAACCCAATACAAGAACACTTCCTGTAATTCATGACAGTTACTGAACAAGAAAACATATTTTGTGTAATTACACCATAAACTGTAATCTATAGCCCCAAACATTTATGTATCTGACTATATGCACAAACTATGTCAAAAGCAATGGTATCATTTAAGACTTTAAAAATTACGTCCAAAAGCATCCCTGAACACAAAACAAGTAGTTTTGTGTATCACATGCACCTTTTTTTCAGTTGAGTTGAATCCAGTGCTGCAAACAAAACCTCTGTCTTCATTACAGTAGTTCCACTGGGATTTGTGATAGCGTATATATCTACCCATATATGCACATACATATACACATACCTCACAGGACAAAAAGAACCTCCCCAAAAGCTTACGAAAATCATACAGCAGAAATTAACCACTAAGAAATTCTGATCCAGGGTCTGACATCTTTTTTCTAAAGAAGTACTTCTTCTTCGGTAATATCAAACTAGTTGGTAACCACACTCAGGTAGAAGTTACAAGTATTTAGTGCATTTTCTCTCAACACACTTTTCATTGTGAAGAAGCCACTGACTTAGTTCAGCAATCTGTCTTTTTCTAAACAAGTCATCTTTCAGCTCAAACTTTTAAAGAGTTACAAAGCAGCTTTACAGTACAACATGTCTACAATGGCAAGCAAGTCAAAGATCTAGCAGACATCAAAAAGAACTGAACTAAAAGATACATTTACATCTTAGCCTGATTATCTTTAATTCAGCCGAAATAATTCAACAACTGACAAACTTCCATTGCTGTTCATCTTCAACAACATGTTTTTCAAATCATAGAGTCAGCTTGGATCTTAGTTCCTGGCTCACATCCACTTTACTACTAAAACTTTGCAATAGAGAAAAAACACCAATGGTGTTGAAAAAGATCCTTACCGAATTATAGTAGAATCCAGTGCTATGGTCATAATACAATCCTGTATTTTCATCGTAAATAAATCCGGTTTGTGAAACAGCAGCTTCTGCAGCAGCTCTCAAGCTCTCTGCCAAAGAACCCTCTGGAACTGAAGTATCTTCTGCTTCCTGATATCAGAAAGTAAGAAATTTTCTTTTCAAAAGAACCTCGCTGGTTCTTCAGTATTTTACAATGTCCTATTTTAAATAAAACAAATTGGTGCTCTATGCACTTGATTCAAGCACTATTAAACAAGAAGGCAAAAATTTAGCTGTAGTTTACTGATAAACTCCTACTGATTTCAGTGGGACCAAGACTTCATCCTGTGCCTTTTGTTTTCCCCAAGCTTTATTCAAAAGTGCTTCACGTCAAAAATATACACAGCGAGTATCTCTCAGTACATTCCTAAAATAGATTTCTGCTCTCCATTCCATTTCAACTGCTAGATGCTAAGGCACAAAATCAGTTAAGCAAGTAAGATGAAGTAAGTGATAGAACAGAAGGCTGGATAGTAGGAGAAAAAAAAAACGAAACCGTAATAAAATGAACAAATAGAACGCCTCCTTGTATCAATGAAGGAGGACAAAAAACAGTACACTTTAGGACAGTCTGCATGGCCATACTGAACATACTCTGCTGACAACAATATGCCATGCTTCCAGTCTAGGTAGGACATATGTTTTAGAATGTGCTTTTTTGTTGCTTTTCAACAAATCCAGGAGTATGTTACACTTGGACCATACTACACAAAGAACTAGTTTCAAAGCATAAGGATGTTCGTCTGCTATCATTAGCACTATACCATCACAAAAAATCATTTCATACAATGACATCAAGATCAAAAGCACATCTTTTAAATGAAATGAAATATTAATAGAGTGCTGACTTAAAAATTGGTAAAACCCCATACAGTTCTATAACCTGTGAATTCTGGATGAAATTTTCCTCTTCTCCACTTTCAGCAATTTCGGTGCTATCCATCCTTAAAGGAATACTATCACCTGTCTGTGATTCCTCTGTGGAATTACGCTCAGTGCCTTCAGTCCCATGATCGTGCTGCATTGGCAGTTCAGATGCACAATCCTGAGCATCACTGTGATTGTAATAATTTTCATAGTAGTAATAGTCTGCAGGAGCAAAAAAAAAAAATTGAAGCTGCATAAATTAGCAAAGCAATATTTTACACTATGCAGTTTAAGGATCCTAAATCTTCAGCTGGAAATTTATGCATGAGTAGTCTAATGAAAATCAATTATTAGGTAGTACCTCTGCTTTGAATTTATTCTACTCTTACTGAACAAATTAAGTCTCACTTCAACATACTTTAAAAACCGGTAAAACAGGTACGTGTGTAAGGTATGAGATCACTATGTAACCGATTACTATGGCATGAATTCTGCCACAGTCCACGCTATGCTTTATCCTGTTCTTAACAGGAATGGCTTGAATAAATAGGAAATGGTCCAAAAGACAACGTCAGGTTACTGAGTTTACCACAGCTAAGGATACAGACTTGAAATGTATTTTATATTTAAAAAAAAAAAATCAAAACAAGATACTGCTCTAGATGCCCATTTAAGCAACGACCACCCTCTCTACCTGCTTGTGACCACACAGCATAGTCTTCTGTCTGTACTTCTACACTAGACGTATCCTTCTCCTTCCTATTATGGATTTCCTTAGTGAGCTCTTCAACCTGAAACAAAGACAGCATGTAACAGAATACAATGCTGCATTTTAGGGGTCTACATCAGAAAAGAGTGTCAGTCTGCTTTACATTCTATAATTCTAACCAAACATAACTGCACCATATTTATTTGATCTTTGTTCTGCAGGAGACAATTTACTACTTCAATGGTTGGCATAACGAAAACCATAATCGCTGCTCACATGGGGTGTCACACTAAAGGCAAGCACTTGTGAGGAAAAAGAAAAACTTAAACGAGGTTATGCTGAAAATACCCACGCTGAAAAGTTGAATTTCAAGAAAAAAAACACTGTTCTATGGTGGCGAACTGTGGCATTTACGAAACTTCCCTATTTCACTATAGGCACCCATGGGACAGCTCTGCCAACCTTCCTTCACTTCGCCTTGTTTATCAAGCTCCTTTCCTTCTGCTAAACGCAGTTTTTCTTTCCGACTGCGAAACCAAATTGCTGACCGAGAAGCCGTTATCATTCT